CTCTCCCTCTCTCTCTCCATCTGCTGAGAGTCACTCAGGCAGCTTAGATCAGACACTGCAGCGCTCCAGACAAAGGAAGGTGCCGCCAGGAGCACAGCTACCTATCCGGTCTGTTACACTTAATGTCGACAGGCAACCTTGTGTTTCTGACACCTATTTATTGACAACGCAGCACTACTTTTCAAAGACTTAAAAAGAGTATAGGGTGGACTAACTCTCAGAGGGGGGTGGGAAACCTTTCTCAAATGCTAAATAACCTCTACTTAACATGTTTCCTCTTCTCTCTCTTTCACAGTTCAGTTCCACATTGCTCATTTGTATGAGATTCAGGTAAGTGCCGGCTCCTTTCTTCAACCCACGCTTCAGTTGTGAAGGACACCAGACATTTGTTTGGTTTCTGTCATTTGTAATTGTGAAAATAAGTGCCGCATGTTGATTAAATGTCCAGTATTAAAGCGATAGCTCCTAACTCCGCTGCCATTGTGTAATCACAGTGCGTCTGAATGCCAGGGATAGCCCTGTTTTTTTTTTTTTTTTCTTCTTCTATATTTTGAACCAGGTGCTGACAAATTGAGAAGGGAGCGGGGTGCGTGAGTGGGTGGCATGCGGGAGGGGATAGGAGATTACTCTCAGCCGATCGACGGGGTTGCCACGGAAACAAGAAAGTCTGTCTACCCCCTCTTTTGTATGCTGGTGGTCTCTCTCTCTCTCTCTCTTTATGTCGGTTTCAGTAGAGAAGTACAGTAGCGCTCGCCAGCTCCGGGTGTAGCGACACTTCACGACTAATGTGAGGGGTCTGGTTTTTTTTGTGCTGTGTCAGAACACAACGCTGCAGTGGAAGGCTCAGGCTTTAGGGTGCGCGCTGCCAGTGAGATCTTTGGATGCAAAAGTGCGACTAAATTTGGCGGAGTGGGGAGGGTTTTGTTTTTTTCTTCCTGTTTTATTATGCTGCACATTGGAGAAATAGAGAGAGGGATGACCTGGCAAAAGTTATGGACCCTTTTGTAATTTTTTTCTCTCCTCTCGCCACCCTCTCATTCATTATCCTCCCCATCATACACATCCTCCCCCATTTCTCCCTTTAAACCCCCTCTTTTTCCCCCCCACTGCCCCTCCACTCCTCGTCACATGCAGAAGAGATACCGGGCTGCCAAGGAGGCCTACGAGAGCCTCCTGCAGACGGAGGATCTTCCTGCACAGGTGAAGGCCACTACCCTGCAGCAGCTAGGTAAGAGTGTGCACACACCTGGTTGGGTCAAGTTTAGTATGGCGGGTAGAGCAAGAATAAAAAGAGGATTGGGGAAATTGGGCCTAAAACAGTTGTCATATAAAGTAATTTGCTGCATGTAGTTGTATTGGTGTTCACGAATGTGACATTTTCCAGGCTGGATGCATCACACAGTGGAACAGCTCGGGGACAGAGCCAGCAGGGACAGTTATGCCATCCAGTGTCTGCAGAAATCTCTGGAGGCCGACCCCAACTCTGGACAGTCCTGGTACTTCCTTGGCAGGTACGTCTCATACAAAGAAGTATTTGACTGTTGGAATACAGGTTTGGCAATGCTGGGAAGTCCACCATGGCACATTTGCATTGCTTGTGAAACATAAACAGGGAAGTTGTGGTTATGAAATCCATATATTTATCCTGGAATTCCAACTGTGTCATGGAGTAATTTGGGAAAGCTTTTTTTTGTTTTTGTTTACATGGTCTTGGTCAGGTGTTGAAATTGTTTAAAGGTGTGGAAAATAAATTGAGATATTCTTAGGAATTGAAAAGTTTTATATCTTTTCTCATATTTTTTTAGAAAAATCAGCAATCAATGAATTTTAATTGATCAATTGACCATCCTGGCACTGTTTCTTAACACACAATATAGTGAGAAAATGTGTGGCTGCAATTGATAAAAAAAAAAAACGTCTTTCTTGCCTTTTATTTCAGTTTGCCATTTTATTATAGGCACAATGTCAAGTTAGTTCTAATGTTTAATGCCATCTTAAATATTTGTATTGCATGCAGTCTTGACAAGTCTCAAGAAAATGGGTAGACAGAAGCTCAGTGTGTTAGCTATTTTACATATTTTATTTGTTTAAATGTTTTCCATGTGTGTAGCGCCACCCTGACAGCCTGTGTTCTCCTACAGGTGCTACTCTAGTATTGGGAAGGTCCAGGACGCCTTCATCTCCTATCGGCAATCCATAGACAAATCAGAGGCCAGCGCAGATACCTGGTGCTCTATAGGGTAAGGGTCAGTCCCTCCTCATCGCTCCCTCTCTCTGCACCGCTTACTTTTTTTTTAATGGTTCCTTTTTGTCCTCCTCTCCTCACCTCCCAACCCTCCCTCAGGGTGTTGTACCAGCAGCAGAACCAGCCCATGGACGCTCTGCAGGCCTACATCTGCGCCGTGCAACTGGACCACAGCCACGCCGCCGCCTGGATGGACCTGGGCACGCTGTACGAGTCCTGCAACCAGCCGCACGACGCCATCAAGTGCTACATCAACGCCACACGCAGCAAGGGCTGCACCAACACCACCGCGCTAACCCACCGCATCAAATGCCTGCAGGTGGGTGGAGAGAGGAAGCCGACACAGGCTGCTTGGATGCGGCTTCAGTTTGATAATCCAAAATACCGGTATTCAGAAAATGTAACAGTATATAAAGGTTCAAAAACGGCACATAACAGGTGTGGTGCATCTGCAAAATTTAGCCTGCATCACAGCTTTCCTTTAGTATTTCTGATAGCGTCCAGTTATATTTTGTATAAAAGTGTTGAGAGGACATCAGTGGTTCTCAACGCTGCCCTGCTTGGATCTGACACGCTGTCATATCATTAATTGAAACTGCTGAAAAGTCAAATTGGGTGTACTCGAAGGCTGGCAGACAAACAAACAGAGGTTTCAGAAATGTATCAGAATTCATACAGCAGACCCATCAAAAAATAAAAGCCTGGTTTGGGACATCCCTAATTGAAACTGCTGCTCTGGGGTTCACTCACTTGAACCAGTTTCACCAAAAGCCGTTTAGTGCATCTTCCGTGTACTGCGGGCATGCAGTGAGCGCCACACGATGTAGACGACGTTAACACAACTCAGCTGAATTTTCCCGACGGAGTAAACCTCCATCGGGGAAAATTCCCTTTCCCAGAGGATGGGGGGTTTCTCACGGTTATCTCTCTGCACTAACCCACAGCACATGGGCCCTCTCCTGCTTTTTTTTTTTTTTTTGCTGTTCTTTGTCAGCATCCCTGTGCGGCCACAAATGCATTGAATAAGTCTATATCTTATTCCACAGGGATGTGATTATCCTATTAGGCACAAAGGGAACTTTCACAAGTCCTGGAACCCTACAGGGGAAGAAACCCTGAGAAATTGAATCCAGTGTCCAGAATAGAATCAAATCCAAGGATCTCTGTTGGCGAGACCTTAACTCATGCCTGGCTGATGGGTAGTTGGTCCCCCCCCTCTGGAACCTTTTCTCCAGCTTAACTCTTTTTTTGCTGTGCAGCGTAATATAAGGGAAAGAGGACAAATATGAATGGTAGCACCCTCACACTCATTTTCCTAATTTAGGGATTATTTATCCTTTTTTGAGACCGGTTGGTTCATGCTCAAGCTAACGCTAGCCGGCTCCACAGATTTAACAACTGGGGTTCTAACAATCCCCATATCTCATGTGTTAATTTAATCATCTCTATTTTTGTCCAAGCAATGTCATTTTCCTTTACACATGCATGAAGGAATGTTACATTTCCACCAGTTGTGTTAGCATAAACCCATGGCATTAAGACAAGCTCAGCGGCTTGTTTTAATGGAATTGTGACTGTGTTTGGGATTACTGTTGCATAGTAGTAGTAATACCTCCTTGTGTGGTTGTTAACTGTACATGAACTTAGGTGTATTAGCCAGCCAAGACACAAGTTTGCATATCAGTTTCCAGCTTGGCTTTCACTTGTTATAACTCTACCTATTTACCATTGCTGATCATTTTTTGTTTTGCGGTCATCGTTTTTTAATAATTATATACTATATATATTTAAAACCAAACTTGTGTTTTATTTTATTTTTTTTGTTTTTTCACGTCGTTTTCCATTCCCCTAGGCTCAGTTGAGTAACCCCCAGCTCAGTAGCCTACAGGGTAAAAGTAAAATGCTCCCTCTTATTGAGGAGGCATGGAGTCTACCAATCCCAGCTGAGCTAACCTCCAGGCAGGGAGGCCTGAGCAGTGCACCACAGCAGGTGAGAGACCAGATAGAGCAACTTACACCTCCCGCCTCCCTCCCCTCCTCCCTACCTCCCCTCCCCTCCCTCCCTCTCCCCCTGACACAGAGTGCACACTCAGACACGTACTGTACGCACAGACAGGCCAACACCATGCGCATGCACTGTTGCACACATACTGATGGGTAACACTTGAGCTCAACTCCGCTTTCTGCAACGTCTGTGTGTGTGTGTGTGTAAATGCAGATGTCTAAAGAAGCCAACAACATGCACCAAAAAAAAAACAAAACATACTCCTCTGCAACATGAATGCTGTTACACTCAGATTGGAGACTTCATTGTAAGCGTGCTCTTCCTGCTTCACAGTAACAACCAGTTGAATAACAAGTCATGCATCATGCTCTATTTCATATATAACCTGGCTGCTTTATGGCATCTGTTTTTTTTTTTTCTGAATGAGGAAGGGTCCAGCCAAGTGTTACCCAGTCCCTGCACCCCCTTTTTTCTTCTCCAGTAGTCACTCGGCTTCACCCATCATGCTCCGTTCAAGTAAACCAAAATCAACAAAGCACCTCGTGCAGGCTTTTGTTAATTCTTTCCCATTCAATTTCTCCTTCCATTAATCCTGGTTTTAATCTATTGTGGTATTCAGGATTTTACCCCCCTCCCCTCTCTACAGTTAATTTACAAATCCAGTTTTAGGTGGCAAACTTTATCGAACCTGCACCACACCGCTGTTTGCTCTTAATCTGCTTTGCTTCAGACTGTGAGAGATTGCCTTTTCTGAACAGATTAAAGCGCTCTAATTCTTAAAAAAAAAAAAAAATCAAAGTTGGCTGTGTTTATAATTCTCACACTCCATTGATGTTTTTGGCTTTTGACCCCGCGCCCCGGCGTGATCGGTGAGGTCGTGCTGCCAGTAGAGCATTACCCAGACTTCCCATTGGCTCCGTCCATCTTCCTCCCCCTTTCAGTAGTTGACCTTAGATGTCCCGCAGCTGCTCACAAAAGCCCCAGCAACGCCCCCTAGTGTTTCCATCACCACCTCACTCATTCATGCCCATCACACAGTAGATGCGCGTAGTTCCGTTGTGTCCATGTTTGTGTGTGTGTGTGCGTGTGTGAGTGAGCATTGTCGTGTGATTGACTTTCTAGCACTGGAAAATGTTGAATTTTTTTTTTTTATCGGCTTTGACTTGGTGAGAGTCAATTCACTGTAAGACCTGTGTGGATGTGTTTGGACTGGGGGCCTTTTTGGATGGATCATTTTCAATGGGTCAGATGTGACTTCATGTCTTCAACCTGATACAATATGATTCAAGTTACACTTAATAAGTTTGTTCGCAAACTTTTTGTGCAAGTTGCGAAATTGAAAATATTGGCTTGAAATTCTAAGATTGAGTTTTTTTTCCACCCTCTCATGAAACACGCTGCAACTGAATTAAAAAAAGACTTCAAAGGACTTGAGAACTGTAGTAGACGATAAGGCCGCTATTACAGGACAAGGCAAGCTCCTCCTGTTTAAAAACAACAGCGAGGTTTTGTCGAAACTCCATTTCCGGACAGTCACATCTGGCTCATAGATCTCCCCCGGAGGTCACGGTAAGGCCGCCAGCATGTGTTGTGACCTTTCGCTTTAAAGGTCGCGTAAACAGCTGCTTTGTATCGTCTTAAAAGTGCAATAAGGAATACGCCGAATTGCTGCGAAGACGTCATTATGACCTCTTTGAGTGCTGCAGTTAGCGATGAGTTTCCACCAGCATTGCTCTGAACAGGAGAAAGTGCCCCAGGGCCGTGGTTGCCCTATGAAGTAACCCCTTCAGATAAACAGGAATGTTTTGCTTTACGTGTCGTGCTTGTTTGTTTACGCGCCAACACAGATTCACAGTTTTGCTCTCTTTTTCTCTCTTTTCCTTATTCTCCAATCCCTTGCTTTGCACTTTGACCTCTGCCCCTTCCCGTATTTCTCCCATTTTTCCCTTTTGAATAAAAACATGCTTGATTGCTTCCTTCCCTCCATTTTACTCTCCATTCTTGCTTCCGTGACCTTTTGTTACCTCCTCCCATTTACGCCATTTCCTCCTTTCGTTTCTTTTTGCTTCCCTTTGCCTGCGCTCCCCGCCACCCCCTTCCCCTCCAGGCTTGTAAGCCCAATCACAGTGCAGAGGGTGGGGGCTCGGGTCAGTCTCTGCCACCTCACATGGGCCCGCTGGGCCAAGCAGAGGACCAGTCCTGCCCGGCCAAGAGGAGGAGAGCCTCCAGCCCTTCCAAGGTAAATACAGCAGTGATGGCGTCATTTAACTGCGAGTAGGGTTACATCTGAATCTTTACGGTTTCCTCTCTACACCTTACATGTTACGTGTAATTTTCATCTTCCTAATGTGGTTTTCAGGGTGATTCATGGGCCAGTAACTCAGCACAGCAGCCAGTTCCCAACTGGTACCTCTCCCCGCAGAAATTACAGGTCAGTAATATCCCTTATCTCATGTTTTACTTTACTTGTGATCTCCGCTTTTACGTGAACTCTGGGTTTTACTGCTGTCTTGCTGTCTCCAGCTGCTGGAACAGTTGCGGAGTAACCGGGCCAGTCTGAAGCCCCCGCAGCTTCAGATGCTGGGGCAGCTGGAGGCTCAGCTCGCCATGATGCAGCAGCAGCAGCAGCACCAGCACCAGGTAAATCTCTCTCTCTCTCTCTCACTCTCACTCTCTCTCACACACACACACACACCAGGCTTGGATCACACATTAACACATGTCATTTCACCATGCACTGGTCAGGTGTGCTCTAAAAGGTACTCCATGTCCCGTACTTCCTGGTCTTTAGCATTCACTGTATTGGTCCTGTAAGCTTGTATTTATCCTCAGAAGTTTCTAATGCCATCTCCATCTGAGGTACATATTACCCATGGATGCTTGCATGACAAAATTCTGTCTAAACAGTCAAAACTGTGAATAATTTACAGTCAATTTATGGTACCGTACAGAAAATGAATATTTACATGTATACATTGTGTGGAAACATAGCGGCACCCACTGATGTGTACTGGGTAGTTGTAGGATTAACTCATGATGTTAGAGTAAATAAACTCACTAATCCAGAGTAAACACTAGAGTAGTATTCAGACCTGAATTAAGCCACTCCTTTCATGGTGTGTTGTGGCATGTGTGGGTCTTAGACCGTTGTGGTTTGGCACCCAACACAAGTTTCATCATTGACGGGTAAGAATGTGAATGCCAGTTGTGTTCTTGTGTGTTTGTCTGTGTGACTCACCCACCTGGTTCTCCAAGCAGGTTTAAACAAACGCTAAATGATTTGCAGATACAAACTTTCAAGCTATAATTCACTTTCAAACTGCCGTGTTGTCATCTTTTTCCTTTCATAGATGAGACAGAATGCCTCAGGAG